TGGGGGGGGTCGCCGCGGAGGGCGGTGGTGCCGACGCCAGCAGCCCCGCTGGCTTGGCCCGGCCGCCCCCTCGTCTTGCTGCGGGGGGGGCAGATTTAGTCTCCTGGGGGGGGTCGCCGCGGAGGGCGGTGGTGCCGACGCCAGCAGCCCCGCTGGCTTGGCCCGGCCGCCCCCTCGTTTTGCTGCGGGGGAGCCAGATTAAGGCTCCTGGAGGGCGTCGTTTCCGCGGGCTGTAAATACCGCAGCTCCGTCCGACCTGCTGAGTGCGCGCGGGGCGCGAGGAAAAGTTTGGGTACTACGGGCGGAAACGGCGCCTGAAAGCGAGAGTCAACGCTGCCCCCTTGCCATAAGCAACATCACCTTTTTGTTTTTAATACAATATGGCTGAAGGGCAGATTTGACACCAGATTCATTCAGTGTTAGGAGCTGTTAAGTCAGCGCGGTCGGGTTTTCAGGGCTGTTCTGAGAAAGCGAGCATTCAGGGGACGCCATACGGAGAGTGGAGTTTTAAGTTGACTTGAGAAAATACATTCTTGTTGACAAAGGAAAGTTTGTTACTCAAATACCTTGCTATTAAAATAACACAGCCTTTGGCTCTGTCACTTTTGGAGAGGACTGCTTATCATTACAAGGATCCTGATGGTTTAATTTTGGCATTACACAAAATACTTCTGCATCACGCTCTCTCTTTTCTCCTCTCCTCTCCTTTCTTCCCTTCCCCTTTTCATTCCACTTTTCTAAAAAAAAGGAATATTCAGCATGTGTTTTCCGAGATGAATGTCCCAGAATTGATTTTCTAGGTCTGGCAGCAAAGTTTGCTATGCGGGTTTCTAGTGATCCAAAGTCAGTCTGCTAGTATTTGTTATTCCTCCTTACAGTATTCCTCTTTTCATTATTAGAGAAGTTTTATAGTTTTTAAATAAACTTATTCTGCCCTTCCCAGTAAAAAAAAGAAGAAACGTACTGAATAATTAGATAAATTCACGAGCAACCCCATGGAATAAAAAGAAAGAGAAGAATCACAATTTATTGGCAAATTGTAAAAGTGTCTTGAGTAGAGGAAGGATGGATTTCTTGATTTCTTGGATAAACTACAATTGGATATGTTTGCAGGGCTTAGAATCAAGGCTAGGCTAGGATCACACAACATATAAAGTCCCCAAATATCCCACATAGTCAGCTAAGTGACATTGGACAATATCTCCTCTGGAAAAAGATAATTTCCTATGTTCTTACATCACAGGATATAGTCCAAATAGTATATTTAAGATCTGAGTTTTCCAATATATTTAATGGAGGCAGTTATTATTATGGTCATATAAATATGCCCCAATAATGATAATTGGGTGGGATATACAGAAAGGTGGTAGGCTGTACCGGTATTCTATTACAGCAGTGTTTCTCAACCTTGGCAACTTGAAGATGTGTGGGCTTCAACTCCCAGAAATTCCCCCCCCCCCAAAGGTTGGGGGGAAATTGGTGTGTGGAGCGCCCCACACCCCAAAACTCACGGGGAGGGAAAAAAAATAATAAAGTAAGGGGTA